CCACATTATCATGATATCGAGGGGGGAAAAAAGTATAGTGACATAATTAAAAATAGTTGGATGTCTGAAAATATTTTCTTTCTCGCTTTGTATCTCCATCGTTAAACATGGTTAAGTTTTAGTACATCATTGGATAAAAGATGGGGAGTATTCAAGGCATAAAGGATCGCATCAAATATTCATTGAACTATGCAATATATTTTATACTTGATAAAAACAAATCTTAGCAAATTGTTTCTTATATTTAAAATAAGTATAATAAAAAAACCATTTTAATAAGTATTTTAGAGTACTATGTACATAAAAAATTATTTTAAACTACTGGGTGCCAGTAAAAAAATATTTCACTTTGTTAAATGATCCTTAGAAAAGTACATATTTATCACCCCATTTTACCACAAAACGGTGTGGTTTCAATGGTAAAAGAAGGCAGGGAGCGTAACCAAAAAGGAGAGAAGCCAAGTTCATTAAAAACCCTCTCAAAGGCAAAGTATAATTGATCACTAATTTTCCAATTCGCAGCCTCTTAACAATCTATCATTTTCCCTCGGGTACCCTAATTAGATGACGTGTGGTGAAGGGTGCATTACCAAAATGAATTAAAATTTTCTTTAAAATATAAATTTGTTAACAGATTATAAAAAAAATTTGAAGAAATGGGGAAAAATGCACATAACTCAAGAAATTTTTCTCAAGTGAGAATTAAAGAAAAAAATTTGAAGAAAAAAAAATTTATTAGAAAAATAGTGACAGTAACGAAACCGTTGTTTGGATAACTAGTTCCATAAGAAGAACGTGGAATACTTTAGAAAAGAAAATGCAATGAATAAAAACAAAGGTAGCGTCTAATTAATTGCACCATGATACAATTACTGAGAAAACATCGTCCGCAGTTATTTGACTGTTACTGAATCTCTAAGTTGATCATGTCAGTTACTCAACCCTTATTATAAGATCTTTTTAAATAAATTGCACGGTTTAAGAAAGCAGTTAAAATTAGTTAAAAATAATTAATATGTACCCAATGCAATTTTTTCCAAATATACCCTTATATATAAATGGGTAAATGTGAGAGAATAATAGTGAGATAAATTAAAAAAAAGAGAATGTATTAAATACATTAAATTAGGGATAAAATAGGTAATAATATATTAAATGCTCAGACAAACTCAAAAAGGATCTTATAAAAAGGGACAGACTTATTTAAAAAATTGGATCTTATAATAAGGGACGGAATAGTACAAACTAAATTGTATACTAACTCTCATTCTTAATATAAGATTTAATTAACTAATTTGAATAGAATAAAAAAATACTAAATTATTTTAAACTATTTATATTTATCACTTTTCTTCAACTAATTTGTTTCACTCATAAATTGAGATATAATTTAATAATCTATATAAGTAGCTCAGAAAAGTCATATAATATATGCTATAATTAAATTATTTAATAAATTTATTAATCTTCTCAAATTAGTTGATTGTATCTTATATTAAAGATTGGAAGGAAGTATAAACTTCAATTGAGTGTGTATGTGATATTGTTCTTTTGGGGTTTTAACTTGTGTTTCTTGTTGATTTGGATGTTTTTTGCGATCCTGGTGTTAATTACACAAATCAAACCGGAGCCATAGCTCAACGACATTATTTATTAGTTTGTGCTCACAAATCACAATCATCATGTCTAGTTGAGTCCTGATGAAGATGATAGAGTAAATCTACAGGTGGTTGATTGATTATTTTACTTGGGAAGTCGCAAAAAAACAATCATATTAGGACTGTGGATTACCCAAGAATATATACTATTTATTATAAGATTATTTTTAATTAAATTGTGCAGTTTAAGAAAATAATTAAAATTAGTGAGAAGCAATTAATATGTAGTAAATATAATTTTTTTTCAAATATATCCTTATATATAAATAGATAAATGTGAGAAAGTAATAGTGAGATAAATGAAAAAAGAGAATGTATTAAATGTATTAAACTAAAAATAAAATAGATAACAATATATTAAATGTTCCAACAAACTCAAAAAAATCTTATAAAAAAAATAAACCTATTCAAAAAATTGAATCTTATAATAAATATACATATAAACACACACATATATATACAGATACACACACATATCACCGTGTCATGTAACGGGGGAAGCAATTATGAATCGTGACGCTGCCAAATCAAAGAATCATACATATCTTACTTGACACGAGATTCGATGTGTACCCATCGATAACTCAGGATACGGCCTAATGCATCCCCGCTGGCCTATCACGTGAATCAGCAGAAGGCCCAGTTAACTTAGACGTGGCTCCCACATCGCCCAGTCTCAACAATCGGCTGCATCATATTTATTCATTCTTCACGCGTTCTTCTTCATAAATGAATGATGTGCTTGTTGTTTCAAACAGTTATAAAACGGCAAACAAATAGTATCTCCAGTTTTTAATTTGAGGTTTTGTTTAATTTTTATTTTAATTCTAAATATAAATTCTTAATCTATTTTATCTCTCATATTTATATATTTTTTAAAAATAATTCTTAATGATAGGTATAGCTAATGCACTTAATTAATAAGAATATTTTAGAAAAAACAATATCTATTTATTATAAATAACTAACTTAGCTTATTTTTTTAATCTTTTTAAATAAATCAACTAGTTCTTATAATTAGGACCGAAACTAATATATAGTAGTAATCTTTTGAAAGTGACAATTAAAATAAAAAACGGACAGAGGGAATACACTTTAATTATGTTAGATAAGGAATTAATAGAAATAAATTTAATCAGACATGAAAACCACGTTTAAAGTTTTAATATTATACTCCATGATAAGAAATCTGTCTATATTTGGTTACTCTCCTTTGATATATTGCTGCCGTTTCAAAGCTCCTTTTGAAACGAGAGACACGTACGGCTTCTTGATTGGTACTATGCTCAACATTTGATAGAATGAGTCCCATTTTTCACCATTTGTGACGTGTGTATTTTACTGTGAACAATGCTGCTATCCTTCTGCAATTAAGGTTAATTTTAGTTGTTGACAGATAAGCTGTTGCTTAAATTAAGAGTAGCCATCTTTCTCTCTCTTACGTACGCCCGCGCGCACACATGTTATTAATTTAAACGTGTTATATATGTACGTAGATATCGTCAACCAATCGTGTCAATTTTGCATTCTTCTTAGAGATAAGAATCAATAGGGAATTGCAGCTTTGAAATAATATATTCGTTAACATGTGTGTGCTAAAAATTAATAGGCCGTCTCTCGTTGGTTGCCTCTCGACGGGAGCACAAATCTTTAGAAGAACCACATTTTAAAAGGGAAAACTAATTTAGAGACCCTTATAATTTACTTCATTTTTGAATCAGGTTCTAAATTTTTTTTTTAATTGGGTACTTTAACTTTCTACTTTTAGAGCTGTTAGTCCCAGTGGTTTAAATCTGTTAAATAAGTATTGACGCGGTTGAGAATTTCTGTTAAAAGGCACGGCCTACTCAATAATAAAAAGCCATGTCTAAAAGCTTCTTCCACCTTGCCAAGCTCTCCTCTCTCTTTTTGCTCAGTCCTCCTCTTATCCCTCATTCTCTCAACCTATAAATCGCTCACAATTTCTTCTCATCTTACCATAACACCTCCCTACGGTCACGTCTCTTTCTCTGTCCAACTTGAGACCATTTGAATCTTCTTTCAATCAATGAGAATTATTTTGCAATTTTGATGGATGCAACCCCATGAAATGTATTGGAGGTCCTTTAACCAAACCAAATACTATTGTCATAGTAAAGCACAAAATAGGACCCAGAATCTTGGCCATGCCATGTAGATGCTTCACAGATCAATGCTTAAGCACAAAAGTAAAGATGCATTGGTTCTAAGAAATTTTCTGATGCCTCTGAAAATTAAGGTGATGATGTTCAAATGGCCAAAAAGTTGTCTGCAAAACAGAAAAACAATTATATTTTTATTCAAGCCCCTGCTTTAGTAATAGAAAAACAGAAAGATCAAGGAAGTAACCAACAACTTCTCCAAAGCTAAACTAGACTAAATGCCCAACAAGGTTTGAGTCATTGCCAAGTCAACCATGGTAACCTTGTCCACTTGCTTGGTTATCCTGTCAAACTGGACTGCCAATCCCTTCTCATCTGTGAATTCATCTCTAGGTACAGTTTCACAATTGTGTCGTTCAAGAATGATAGGGGAGATGTTGATGAATAGCAAAAAGAGAGAGGAGAGCTTGGTCCTGAGGTTGCAATAATGGAAGGAGGCAATGCTAACCAAAAGAGAAGATGATGTTTTTAGAAGTGGCAATCAAGTGGACAGTGCTTTTTAACAAAAATTCTTAACAACGTTAATACTTATTTAACGAATTTAAACTATAGGAACTAACAACTCTAACAGTGAAAAATTAAAGGATCTAACAAAAAAAAATTCAAGGACCTGATTCCAAACTGAGGTAAATTATAAGGAACTCCCTATTAATTTTCCCTTTTAAAAATTAGGAGTTTGGAGACCCAACACTTTACAAGGTTCCCTTTTCAAGAAAACCTATCCAACGTTAGAGGGGTGATCAAAATCTCATAAACTAGAAGATAAAAGAAACACATCCCATCCAGATCACATGTAATACAGAGATCCACCATTTGTTGGTCCCCTATCTGGCTTCTTAGAGTAAAAATCTTGCACCTCTCTAGATTTTATTCTTTATAGTGAAAAGCAGAATCCATCTACCGCACGGGTTCATTGGTTTTTTGAATCACGAGGCTAAGTTCTTGGCAGCTACAAACTTTAACATCATTCATTTCCTTTCCTAATCATACATGTGGAAGGGACAAGTCTTTGACGTTGGCAAAAAACAAAAAACAAAAATGAAAAATAAGTATTTGACGTTAATGACCCTGACCCTAGCTAGCCCATTATAAATTGGCTGATTCTCTTGCTCTTGCAGTAAACAAGAAAGCATTGCCTTTTTCTTCTCTCAACCTTACCTCCATGGCTTCCAAACCACAAGCTTTGGTCCTCCTCCTTTGGCCCTTGTTGCTTCTCTCTCACTTGAGCTCATCCCTAAGCTGCCCAATTGTCACCTACTGGGGCAAGAATGTGAATGAAGGAGAGTTGGATGCAGCATGCCAAACCAAAAAGTACGAGATCATCAACATAGCATTCATGAACACATTCGGCAATGGCCAAACTCCAGACATAAACCTAGCAGGACACTGTCATTGGTCCTGGGGTGTCCCTTGCACTAAATATGCCTCCCAAATAGCCACTTGCCAAAGCCTGGGCGTCAAAATCTTCCTTTCTCTCGGAGGAGCTTCTGGCTCCTATTCCCTTGCTTCAGCTGAAGAAGCCAAACAATTTGCCTCCCACCTGTGGACCTACTACCTCAGTGGCCAAAGCCCAGGTCTCCTAGGACAAGTGGCCTTAGATGGCATTGATTTTGACATCGAAGGAGGTACAAACTTGTACTAGGATGTCCTTCTTAAAGAGCTTTACGCATACACCCAGCAAAAGAAATTTTACTTATCAGCAACACCACAATGTCCAATCCCAGATTACTACTTAAACACAGCCATTACCACCGGCCTCTTCGATTACATCTGGGTCCAGTTCTACAGCAACCCTCCATGCCAATACACTGATGATGGAGACAGTCAAAAACTGATAAATTCATGGAACCAGTGGACCACCACCTTCACTGCCACCAAGTTCTATGTCGGGCTCCCGGCGTCTCCCGCTGGCAATGGCAGTGCCGGTGGTTATGTCCCGATCGATACGCTCAACAACGGGATTCTTCCGCAGGCGAAAACCTCTTCGAAGTTTGGTGGGATTATGTTATGGAGCTATAACTATGACGAAATGTCTGGGTATAGCGATCAGATCATATGCCATGCCTCTCAAGCCTTTAATGTTGTTCGTGCGCCATTGGTTGCCATGATGAAATCTGCGTCGGAGGTTCTGTATCGCCTTTTATCACACTACTAGACTGTGGCTGCAACCTCTCTTGTTGCTCCTATGTATGGAATAAGTTGTAGGAGCAGGCTAGTGACTTGCGTCTTAATTACGTGGCAAACTTGATTAGTTTAATCCTATAATTGTTAGTCTTGTTGCTCCTATGTATGGAATAAGTTGTAGGAGCAGGCTAGTGCCTTGCGTCTTTATTACGTGGCAAACTTGATTAGTTTAATCCTATAATTGTTAGTCTTTAGTTTTTGTTTTTATGGCTGTAATTTTTTTGAAATTGAAAGTCTGGCTCAAATTAAATTAAAATGACTTCAAAATTGACATTTACTATTAACTGTCAAAATTCTAGAAATTGGCAAATTTTAAGTACCAAATTAAAGCCATTAACTACATGCAGTTTGTATAATTAAGCACCAAGCAAGCGATGAAGTTTCCCTTGCCCCCCGGGGGGGAGTTGGCTCAAATTTTTTATTTTGTGTATTTACCAAGGATAATTTCATAAAAAAATGATTTTATAACATACAAAATTATTTGATAGAAAATCATAATTTAAACACATGTTGATAATTTTAAAAAAAAATATGGATCTTCATATTTGTAAATTTGTGTAATATTCTTCCAAATGATTTTTAAAAAATAAAGCAATTACCACCCTCCATTGATTAATGAAGAATAATGTTAGTCGATAAACAAATAAGTTAGTAAATAACACACACACACACACACACACACACACACACACACATATATATATATGATGATATCGTATGTAGTTTTGATAAAATGATTATCTGTAATTAAGAATAAATTTACAAACAAATAACATACAAAGACAGATCCTCTGCACTGAGTACTAGCTCATTTGTAATTTTGTTATATTTCTCCCTTCATGTATTTTGCTCATTTGCTTATTTTCTATTTACTTGTTCCAAATACTTGAGTTGCCTAGTAACTGCCTTATTATTTATGTCAAGTTTCATTTCTTTCAGGCTCGTAATTCCTAAATTCCTCTCCGACTACAATTAGAAAATTGTGAGAAAGGACCCCATCCTTGCATTTCTGGCATGCCCATTACTCGGACCCCAACTCCTTCTAATGTGATTTTAATAATAGTACTACTCCAATCCCTAATATAAGACCTAATTAATTAATTTGAGTAGATTAAGAATGTTAGTTGAATTAATTAAGATGATATATGTTTTTCTGAAACACCCTGAGTATCTTTCTTAATTCCTTCCCTCCGTCTCCTATTTGATTATTGTTGAAGGAATATTAATGGGATTAATTTAGAAAAAAATTAATAGACATGTAAAATAGGTCTTATATACAGACTAATAATAACTCCCTAATTAGCTCTATATTAAGGATAGGAGGAGTATTAGATTGTAAGCAAATCGTGACAACAGAAATAGTAAAATACAGGCCAGGCTTGCATGCTTATTCAGTTAAAAAATTGAAAAAGATAACAGAGTAAAACTAGAGTTGCCTCATTAATGGAAAGCCAGTTTGGTGGTGGGACACGGAATATTAATTGTTATGGTCATTTGAGCTGAGTGATTTTGTATTTTTTTGTGCCAAAAAATTGTTGTTCTTATTGATATGAAAAATTATTACTCGCAATAAATTATGATGGTGGAGTAGGTAGAAAGGAGATGCTATAAGGAAGACGAAAGGGGATGGGGAAAATTATAATTCTCAATAAGGCATTTTTATTTTTATTTTTATTTAATTAATATAAAAATTAAATTTTTTCCTGGAATTCTTAATATTATAACGAGCAAGCTCCAATAATATTTGACCATTGGGTTCGTATTTAAGTTGGCCCATATGCAGAGGCATTCTAATAGGTTCACAATCAGGGCCACAATGCTGAACACCAAAAGAATAAGAAAAACATTAGATTAATAATTAACGAGAAGCAAGGACAATGTTGATTTGAGAATATGCAATTGGTTATTATCTAGCATATTATCATTCATCACGATAAAAATTACACCCTTCAGCCCCCCCAGCCGCCGGACCAACAGCAGCTTCAGTCCCTTTTATAAGATACTCCTCTTGTCCTATTTATAGGGCTGGGAGAAAAGAAAATTTTTGGTCCTATTTAAGGACATTGAGAAATTTTTTTTGTATGAATATATAATTTATTTATTATTTATTACTGTATTGACTTTATTTATATAGAGTATATAACGTATATTAAATAAGGATAAAGTTAAAAATTTATTGAATTTTAAATGAGAATTAATGAAGTTTAAGGTTTTTCTTAGTTTGCGTGAAACATATTGAAAATAACTTATAATAAGACCAGAGGAGTATAAATAACTAAATTATGTAGATAAAATTTGGTTAAAATTAGTTAAAAGATACTAAACATGTAAAAAAAATTCCCACTTATTTTCAACATACCCTTATTTTCTTATATATATAAAAAAAAAAAGACTGGCGAAGGAAGAAGAGTAACAAGAACACGCGGGGGAGTTGCCCACTAATAACATTTCTACCAATATTTTCTTAATACTTATGCAAGAAACATGTATCAAATTAACGCAACATTGCAACATGAAGTGATCATATCCATAAAATGAATTCAATAATTTTGCCAAAGATTCGATGAATGTCCAACAATTCAATGTGTTTGAAAATCAAGATAAAATAAAATGTTTTCCTCCAAGAATTAAAATCTGAACCGACGAGCCGACTGGTCAAATCAATCGTTGAGCCAGCCGACCATGAACCTGCACCTGCTTTGATCTGGTTTATATCCATATTGTATATATGTTGCCGGTTGACCAGGCAAACCGTTGACTTGTTTTTTGCAGAGACACGACGCATCTACATACCAACCCTCTGAAGCAAGAAATCATAGTTCGACGTTTTCAAAGGACAAAATATGATTCCCACATCATTGACTTCTATATATCATTATGTTATCTTATTCTCCATCTTTATAATTAATGACTCTACAAATTCGAGTAAACTTAGACTTTGCAGTTTTGACATCTTCAACGTCTTGATTTTAATCACAGTATCATTATCAAATCCACTTCTTGGTCAACGCTTGGATTAAAGAATGAAAGCCCCCTCCCTAGCCATGCATTGCAATATTGTGTAGAACCCCATGTATATATTAATTTTTAAATAGTGAAATATAATACTACCTCCGGTCTTTGATATAAAAGCTAATTTGATTTTCAATTTGATTCTAAATATAAGATCTCAATCCACTTTGTTTCTCATATTTAACCAACTTTTAAAGTGGTCCTTGTAATATTTGTTAAATATTTCATCAAATGATAGTCTAACTAATACACATTATTAGTAAAGATGTTCTAAAAAAATATCTATTTATTACAAATAACAAACTTGACAAACTTTTTTAATCTACTCAAATTAATTAACCAGTTATTATATTAAGGACTGAAGGTAGTAAATAATAATAACAACAACAAAACATTTGGGGGGGGGATATATTTCATTAAACTTGCAGATAATGCTTCCTTGCAGAAGGAATACGCTTGGCTTTATCATCAAATTAACTATTAGGCGATGAAATTCAAATAATTAACAAGTATTTGTGTCTCATTATATGTTATCTCACTTCTGTCGCTTTGCCTTATCTCAAACATATAACTGTAATAAGTAAAACTTCTATTGATATTTATTTATGTCTTTTTGGGGACCAACTAAATGAGGTTTTATTCCTTGACTCTCATCTGATCTGTTAAAAAATAATGGATCAAATTAATTGTAAAGATATGCGCAAGCTTGGTCAAATATATCTTTGCAGTGAGATTTTTATTTCTGACTTATCTTGGGCTTGTAGCTTATCTTGGTTAGGTTAAGTAACTTGTTGGCAAACTTTTGAAAATTTCAGTTTTGTGCTTATCTATATGAAGGTATCTTTATCAATAAGAACACTTACATTCCCAGGCTTGTAGAATTAATACATTTAGTCAAATCAGAACATGTGGAACTTAAATTTAAAAGTAAGTAAACAACAATAGTATTAAAAATGTTGTGAAATAAATAATGCATAAAATGAAATGATAACACTATAATAACTCTTGCCACTTTATAAGCTGATTTCCACAGCGGCTCCTCCGCCTGAACTGCCGTCACATTTTTACTCATAAAAATAATTTTTTATATTAGCTCATCAACTCATGGCTTATCATAATGTGCGTCGGAAATCATTCCAGTATTTCTGGCTGAGGCTAAAAATATTTTATGCCATAGGTATATTGACCTGTTTCAAGCAACCCCAGGTTTATTTTGAAGAAGACTTTCATATTCATTTTTCAATAAGAAGCTTTTCATAATACTACGTATGTATCGCCAATTACCTATATGACAGATTCGGATTAAATAGTAGAAATACAGATTCGGATTAAATCGACATAATTTTATTTAATTAAAGTTAAATCTATTGGTGTTACCCAAAAAAATTTAAATCTGTTCCTTTTCCATAAATTAGACTTCGATTTTTTTTCGTCATAATTCACACGTCTGTCATATACTCTTACAATTCACATTTAAGGGAGTAAAGGAGATGCTTAGTAATATTAATTGGGCTGCAGATCCTCTTTCGGCTTGAACAGAAGAAAGTAGCAACATTGAATTAAACTAAACAAATATTTCATGTAAAAGTTCACATATTAGCCAAGTTTATTCCAAGAGACATGCATGGCTCTAGGATGAACTGAAAATAACTTTCTCAATTAAATATAAATGAATGGCAAAAATTAATTACATAAGAGTTGTTAATTAACTCACTGAGGAATCGACTAAAAATCTAGGACTGACCTTTAGTTAGTGGGAAATGGTCCCTCAAATTCGTTTTTTTTTTCTTTGCCCCTTCCGTGAACTGGGCCCTTAAAT